AGCTTCTTGAACATATTCCAGAGAGGTTAGAAGTTGTGATAAATCTCATTAATTTTTTGCATATAACTATTTCTTTTTATGTCACAATGTCATCCATCATGAAATCCTTTCTCAGGCTTTGTGTTTTCTAGTCACAGTGTTTTTATTTTCATTTTACTGATTGAGATTTATTTCTGGTATTTCTGTTAATGTATATTTTTCTAGCGAATAACCGCCTGGGTCTGTATTTTTTGTTATTGTTGTAAGTACTTCTGAATGATAACTTCCTAGAAACGCAGTGAAAAGAAAGATCTATACAAATCTTGTTAGATATTGTCAATTTTTCCTTCACAGCAACATCACTGTCTCACGATTCTCAATGTAATTACTTGGACCAAGTACTTTTGGCTATTTAGAATAACATTCACAGGTAGTAATATTTAGAGTCTCTTCTAAGAGAGGGGCATTGTGGTGTCACTAGGGGAGGGAAGAAGTAAGAAATGGAGGGAGCGGGAGGAGGAGAGAGATCATATTCTGTCTCCAGGATGTGAAATGCAAGGATAATGTAAACATGACTTTCCTTGTCCATGTTTTTTTTTTTTTTTTTTTTTTTTTAGAGGGCTGGTGTGAAGGGGAGGGTTTTAGTTAAGACACAACAGTAGTCACCCAGACTTGGATTAAGCAAAGGCTTTCCCTTTCTGGTATAACTTTAGAGCCCTATAATGTCAAGTTTGCAATGACAAGAACAGTTCTTACATGTTTTCACCAGGCAGAAACAAAAAAGGTGAACTCAAAAGAGGGTCTTTAATTTTGACTTTGGCTGCTGTGTAATTTTCCTATTTTCTTATTTAAGAAAAAAATATAGCTTCTCTTCTAGGAACTCAGTTTTCTTCTCCATAAAAGGAAAAGTAGCGGCCAAGCCCTCAGATAATGGCCTTAGACTCTCCTCAGTTACACACACCCTCAAATCTGTACCTACATATCATTCTTAGTATTCTGTCTACGAAATTTTGAGAAGATAAAATCGCTTATATGCAGAGACTCACACTACATTTTAAATCTCTGCTGAATCATGCTTTCTAGTGACAGGAAATAATCATAAAACTAAACACATGCCAGTTTACTGTAACATCACACCAAGGATATTCCTTCTGGAGGAATTTAATGCCTTGGTATATCCATGTACTTACATCTGTATCTACAGAGAGATCTCCATTCTGTAGGAATAACCAAACAGCGTATACAGCAGAACTTCATACCGCTATTTTGGCTTTACAATGTGATTTTATGTTTATTATCTATTGAAAAATTTAGAACTATTAAGAGAAATTTTAATATTAGAGTTTGGTTTTAGAGCATTACAGAGGAAAATGCTGCATGTCTCATTATTTTGAAACACTGACCTTACTTAGGTGAATCTTTTTTTTTTTTTTTTTGGTTTTTTAATACTGGTTTTTCTGTATTGCTTTGAAGCCTGTCGAACTCACAGACATCCACCTGCCTCTGCCTCCCGAAAGCTGGGATTAAAGGCCAATGCCTGGCACGTGAATCAGTTTTTAAAGTGAGAAATACATCAGGCTAATTTCCTAAGAAAGGAGGTTGTAAATTATTTGCAAGGTCTTTTAGAAAAGTCCTAAGTGCTTTTCTTGGTAGGTTAAAGTCACTTTGAATTTTGGAAATCACCTTCCACACAGTATTTAGCATGTTCTCTTACTCAAATGTCTTAGTTTTCAAATCCTGCGATGAGGACCCTACAGTGTGGTGGGTAGTAATGGTCATTTAGAGTGATGTTCTTAATGGTCGGGAATTTACACAGACCTTGGTACATGAGGCTTTCTTTCAAGTTCTCAGCCTCACCATCTTCCTGTTGTGTGTCCCTGTGTGCCTGACAGGTGGCAGAAACCAAAATCCACAAAACTAATAGCACATATCACATATGCTCACCCAGTCTGTCTTCCTCTACCTCCATTCTGGTTGGGCTCTCCACTCTCCTCCTATTTCTGGGTATTAATGATGTGATCTTTCGAATGTTCCCTAGGTTATAGTCTGGTGGCTGTAGAAGTGTTCGTTACCCTGTGTTTATATCACCATTTGAGTAATCTACTGCTCTATGGATAGCAGTGTTTTCTAAATGAATGGGACAGTCATGCTCTGGAATGGCCCATTGCTTTATCTGGAGTATCCAAAAATGCTCTCTTAGTTGCAATTTCATTTCTTCAAAACAAAAAAGGCTCTTTTAACGATGAAGTTACTTTGGTGGTATTAAATTCTCTAAACCAATATTATGTAATTTAGAACAAAATGAAAATAGAAATAAGTTCTCAGTTAAAGACTTTTCCTCATGCATTCTTAATTACTCTAATCCATACATTTTTACCATGCGTGAGGTAGATTTAACTCTCTAGGGATATATTGATTTATACAGTAGATCATTTTGTGGCTTTTGCAAGAAATTGAGTCATATAACTTTTCAGATGTCCAGTTAAATACAGCAAAATGAATATAACACATTCTTCTATATTATTGTGGACCCCCCATTTAAATAATAGTAAATGGATAAAGATGTAAACTCTTGAGGTAAAACGGAGATTTTCTTTCGCTTGGAGGACACACAGAGTGATTCGGTGTCTACACACACTGCATTAAACCTACATCTGTGTCCCATTTTCACATCTCCCGTGGCCCATGGGAGAGTCTCTTCCTGTGATGTGACCAATGACCTGGGACTGAATCATAGACGCACGTTTAGGCCAATGTCCTGAGTCACCCTGAGACACCTGTGCTCACTCCTCTTCTGGGTTGAAGATGAACTTGGAAGCCTCTGATGTGTTTAGGATAGTGACTCTTTAAGATGGGGGCAGTCTGAATGCTGGGGCCAGAAGGGCCTCCTCGTAATAGGACAACTTGCAGCAAACTTCCAAAAAAGGAAAACAACAAAACAACTAAATGAAACCGAGGTGAAGGGAGATGTGTATGAATGCGCCTTTTAACATTAGTTGCATTGGAAGCCACATGCTCCACAGACTAAAAATAGCGTAAAACCTTAACTTAAGGCAAGGAATTCTGTGTTCTTTTTTTGGGGGGGTGGAGTCCCTCAGGGAAATCACATGCTTTACCTTATCAAAGTTTCTGCATTCCTTGGCTTGTGGCACTGTATCATCACAAGCTTTGCTGTTTTCAAATCCCATTTTACAATGGCTCCCGTCGCTTTTAATAGCCTGGGATTACCCCCTGCCTACTTGGAAGTCATCCCCCTAATAATAACTCATTGCCCTTTCATTAACTCTGTGTGCGGTGCCACTTTGGCCGTGTAAAGGTACATGTTTGTAGACCTCAAGAAGCAGGGTGTGGGGACCAAGAGAATCTTTCTTCATCCCACCACGGAACACAAGACATATGGGTCAGGTCACATATGTGCTTCGGTAACTCCTTGGTAATATAGGAAACACTAACACCGGGGCAGACAAGAAAGGGGGAATGTGAGCACCTCTAACCCTAGTGTGTATCTGTTGAAGCAAAAACACAGCTCTCTTCCCAGAAAGACGCCGTGGTTTAATCTAGAGCCAAATGTGAGACACCACAGCCTGGAAATACAGACTCAGGTTACCCCAAGCACCATGCTCTCATATGGAAGTGGTCACATGAGATTTTAGTTGCAGGACGAAGAATGGACATCTCTGTTACAGGTTTCAGACGCTATTTGGTGGCATTCCTAACTTTGGGGTTGTTGGAAAATAGTGACTTCCTAAGAACACATTGCACAGTTTTTTGTTTTTTTGTTTTGTTGTTGTTGTTTTTGTTTTTGTTTTTGTTTTTTTTTTTTTGGTTAGGATTTGTTTTTATGTCCCAATCAATGTTTCCCATCCCCATCCACTCCTCTTCTACTGTTTGTCTTCTGATAAAGAGAAGGTCTCCCATGGATGTGAACCAGACATGGTATATCAACTTGCAGTGACACTAGCAACCCCTCTTTTATTAAGGCTGGATGAGGCAATCCAGTAGGAGGAATGGTTTCCAAAAACAGGTAACACAGTCAGACAGCCCCCTGAGCTCACTCTTAAGAGTCTCATAGTAAGACTCTTACAGTTACACAACTGTAATATATATGTAGAGGTCAATTTAAATAGATACATTGTACAATTGTGGTAATGTGTGTGTGTGTGTGTGTGTGTGTGTGTATGCATGCATGCATGCATGTATATTCACCAGGATTGCTTAGACATAGAAATAGGACTCAGCTCTGGTCTACAACATCCCAACTCACCATAATCCCTAAATGCAGTCACTTGGCCTTATAGACTCTTTAACACAGGTACAGCTTGACTTCTTTTCTCCTTTGTCTATTCCCCCAAGCCCCTGGGAAGTTTAGCTCACATCTCTCCATCACAATTCTGCAATGTCTGTTAAGTACGAACACACACAAACATTTATTCATCGTCTTGTGGAAACAGGCAGGAGATGAAAGGTGACCAAATGCCTCCAACAGGGAATGATTACTAAACAAAGCCTATATATTAGAATGATATTCAGAAATAAAATTTAACTTGACTTTTTCTATGTTATCATCATGGATAGACTTAGAAATCACAGCATTACTGAGGAAATATTTCCAGAATAGAATATACATGTATATACATGTAAGCAATATTTAAGCAAAAACTTAAAAATCGATGACACTGCTATATATTATTTATGAACACATACATATTTAACTAAAGTATAAGAAATAACCTGAAATAGTACAGTTCAGTCTGAAAATGATAGTTACATTTAAAGAACAAAAATGCAAGTAGACTTGTTGTGGACATGGGAATTTTACAGGTGTTTGTGGGTTTGTGTTTATTTAAGGGCATCTGGATGAACTCCTAGTCTTTACTGAGAAGGGAGAGGATCTACTTATCCCAGTGTTTTAAATATTTAGTGCTGTTTTCAAACAGTCCTATGTTCGTGGCTAATGACCTGGGACACCTCAGTAATGGCTTTTATTTTATAGTAGTCTTGGTTCATATGTAAGCGCCAACATGTCCTTACATTTCCAGGAGAGGTAAAAAACTAGAGTAGTTTTTAGATTTCAAAGACTCCCTTTACAGCTGAGTACTTGTGAGGTAATTTACAGATGACAGCATGATCCATAAATGTCAAGCAGGCATAATTATCACAGCATCTCCAGTTTGAAAGACAAATCCGCAGCTTATGCCTGTTTCATTAAAAAGGCACACCACCTTCCATGAACGGATCGATTCCCATTTTGGTGTGGGCAGTAGTGTTCATTGTGTGCTGTTGTTTATAGGTGATTCTACTCACATGAAAGGTCACCACAAATCCGGGGGAGGGGAGTGAGGAGATCACACTATATTGTTCTTCTGCAGAGGGTGAAACTCTGCAGACAAGGTATTCCTCGAAACCGTGATGCAAAATTCAAGGTCTAGAAATGTATGATGAACCAGACAGGGCACTCAGAGTTCTGTAGTTACAAGGAATTCGCAGGTCAAATTAGAAAAAGGGTTGATATTTTACCTAGTATTATTAATTTAAGCTTGGGATATAGGCTTGTAAAAATAATATTTAAACAGAACAACACACATTCAAGGAGATATATACTCTTTATTAAGATATAAAGAAAGCAAGAGTCTTTTACAAAATGCTCCAGGCTTATTGCAATGCTGCAATTTCATGTTCCTTGACTCAGTTAGGGCAGCTGACGATCGAGATGCTGGGGTCCACCTGTCTCCCCTCCCTTGTACTGGGAGTATAAGCATCACCTAATCCATTGATGCTTTATTGACTAAGCTGCTTCCCCAGGTCCCAGAACTGTCTCTATGAAAGGAGAGAAAAGTTCAGCTTGGAAAAGGAAAACCATTTTTTGTTTTGTTTTGTTTTTGAGACAGGGTTTATCTGTGAAACTTTGGAGCCTGTCCTGGAATTTACTCTGTAGATCCCAGGCTGGCCTTGAACTCACAGAGATCTGTCTGTTTCTGCCTCCTGAGTGCTGGGATTAAAACCGTGTGCCACCACGGCCAGCTAAGGAAAACCACTTTCTAAACACACACACACACACACACACACACACACACACGTTGAAAGAGTTGAATAGATTTCTGAATTGCTTTGCTTGGACTGTCATGGAAAATGCCACACACTGGGTTGATACATTTTCTCAAATTCAGAAGCTGGGCCTCCAATGACGGTTTTTCTCTTCAACTCACTTTCTCTTCAACTCTTCCTCTACAACTCACATGTACCCAGCCTTTGCCTGTGTCTTCCCAAGTGCTCTCTCTCTCTCTCTCTCTCTCTTTCTCTCTCTCTCTCTGCCTCTCTCTCTCTCTCTCGTGTATGTTTGTGTGTGTGTGTGTATGTGTGTGTGTACACGCCATATTGGATTTGGGCCCACTGTAATGTCTTGTTTTAAATTGGTCACCTCTTTCAAAGACTTTTATAAAGCTTCATCTGACATCCTGGGGCTTATTGTTTAGTACATAACAATTTCTGGACTCAAATCCTAGACTGCTTTGTCCATGATCAGCTGTGTCCCATTGTGTCATACTGAAGAATGACAGCCCTTCCTTATCACGGCCTTTGACATAGCCTCCTGGGAGTGAGGATATGTTCCCTGATAAGGTGGATAGGAGTCTCTTTCCCATGTATTTCATCCCAGATCCAGAGCACGTGACATCGAATTAATGAATTATGGGATTGCTGTCCTTTTCATTTTCTAAGAACTAACACATTCTAAACAGAGTTGAAGAAATTAAACAGTGGATCACAGCTTTGTCTCATATTGTCTAGGAATGTGATATTAGCCCTTAGTGGCTTAACAAAAACATATGAATATGGAAACCTCACTCTAAACTGCTCACTAGTAAGAGCAGCCATGAACATATTTTCTTCTGCTTTCTTCAAGTGGTAGGTCTCCAATTTACATATTCTCTCAAGTTAAAAACCTAGAAACATTATGCCTAGAGATGGAGGAATCACCACATAAACCTCTGCACAGCTCAGCACTCAGCCAGACTGTGTTGTTAACTTTGGGAGCTGGTATGCAAAAATTGACACACTCACATTTCTGAGGGAATTGCCCTTTGCCTCTCAAACTTTTCGGTGCTTAAGACTGACCTAGGTGAATACTAATAACAAGGAATTGGCCAAAAGTAAAGAATGCCTGGGAATATATTGACTACTATCCTCCAGAGTCTGATTTTTCTCTACTTGGAATTATTTAATCTCAATTAAATTAATATTCCATCACCCATAACATGAAATGTTAACAGACCTCCATTTTTGAAAAGATTTGTTTCAAATTATGTGTCTGGGGAGGAGTCTATCCAATGAGTGCAGGTGGCTTTGGAGGCCAGAAGAATATATCAGATCTCCTACAGCCAGAGTCACAGACAGTTGTTAGTTAGGTGCCTGTCTTAGTTGGAGATTTTATTGCTATGAATAACACCATGACCATGCAACTCTTACAAAGTAATCATTTAATTGTGGCGGTTCACTTATAGTTTCAGAGTTTCAGTCCATTATCATCATGATGGGGAGCTAGGCAATTTGCAGGCAGGCATGGTGCTAGCTACATCTTGACCAGAAGACAGCAGGAAGTTGACTGACTCACTGGGCAGTATACTATGCATGGGAAACCTCAAAACATTCCACTACACTTACAGATTTCCTCCAACAAGGCCATACCTACTCCAAAACAGCCACACGTCTTAAGAGTGCCATTCCTGGTGAGATTATGGAGGCCAATTACATTCAGACTACCACAGTGCTTACACAGATGATGGGAACCCAGCTCAGATTCAGGCTCTAAAAGGGACTGCTGAGTCTTCTCTCTAACTTTTCAGGTTCAGTTTCAAGAATGCTCCGCTTCCTGTCTCTATTTTCCTACTTGCCCTTTAATACTTCAGCAAAACCGAATGGGGTTTAACTCTTGCCCAGTGGTACTTATAAATCTTCAGCAACCAGGCTTGTATGATTAGAGAGATTGATATTATACAGCATTTGCCGATTTTTACAGCGTAAATACTCCCATTGTGGTCATTTTTTTTTTAAAGTTACTTACACTAAGTCAAGTGCTTTGAAAATTTAGCATTTGAGTACAACTTACTACAGGTTCACATCCCAACAGGGTAGTATCATCTCAAGGCTGCAAGTGTACACTTTCCCTGAACAGAGCAGTGCTCCTCCTGGTATGTGGAACTCCCATCTGCCCTTTAAAATCTAAGTACCCATGGCCTTCCCTGCTGGCTTATGTCTCCCTCTCTCTAGTGTCCCCTCAGTAGAACGAGTGCCGTGGTACCAACTCCCTCTTTGCAACCTTTAATGTATCTAGCTCCCCAGCAGAATTTAAACTGTTTGATTTTACTCAGATTTTGCATATGAAAAAAAAAAAACCTTGATGCTAAGTGCCAAATAGTGTGTAGAAGCGTAACCGATCCTCCATTTTAAAAAGTATCATGGTAGTTCTAAGAGTAGATAGCTTGCTCTAAAGCTTTCATTTACCCTCAGTTGACAGTGGACAAATCATGTAGGTTCCATGAGCCCAACTACTCCTCTCTGCCAAGTGGATATAATACAATGGATCCTCATAACACTGCTTTGAGAGAGCACAGCCCACACCCAGTCAGTGACATTCATGATGTATACATAGTGTATATTCATGATGGAGACGCCTTGGGCAAGGGATGAGGTAGGGTGTATCTTCTGTAAGCATCCCTCTCAAGTGCAGCACCTAAGTAGAGTACAGTCTTTTTAAAGGTAGGTCCTTACCTAGACTTCCCAGTCTCAGAATATTCTTGTCCCTCAGCCTCCTGAGTATAGATGGAACCCCAGGCATGTACCCACTACGTGCAATAAGTTTATAGTCTTAATATGTAGCATGTTTTATTGTTCTATCCTGGAACCTGTTCCTTTAAAAAGAAATTTCTATTAAAATGTCAAATTAGGGCAAGAAAGATGTCTCAGCGGGTTTGAATACTGCTGGCAAGCATAATCCACATGTTGGAAAGAGTGACCCAACTCTACAAAGTTGTCTTCTGAACTACACGTGTGCCTTGGCATGGTACACACACACACACACACACACACACACACACACACACACACACACACAGAGAGAGAGAGAGAGAGAGAGAGAGAGAGAGAGAGAGAGAGCTCAAACCAGATTTTAAACATTTTTTTTATCATAGTAACAATTTCATAATGCGTTTTAACTATCTTTTCTATTCTTCTTTCAGCCTTTGCATGCAAGATTCCTTCCCATTGACTGTCCAGCCCTGTGTGATGCCAAAGGACTGTGAGACTTCAGAGTGGTCCCCCTGGAGCCCCTGCTCCAAGACCTGCCGTTCTGGGCGTCTGTCACCTGGAGTCAGGAGCAGGAGCAGGAATGTGAAGCACATTGCTATTGGAGGTGGCCAGGAATGCCCAGAACTTCTTGAGATAGAGACCTGTATTGCTGAAGGGGAACTTCTGCAGCCATGTCCCAGGTATTTCACTTTTGAATATTTTAATAACTACAATCTCCTTTGAAGTGTTGATAGAAAGGTTGGCATCAGTAAACATAGCTAGGACTTGATTCCACTGAACTTAAAAGCGGAGTCTAGTTCTGTTTCTACAGTATTGGCATCACATACTCTCCAGAAGTGCCATAGCTTCCTCATCCTTTGTTATTTCCTTCTTCTACTGCTTCATGCAGAGTAAATGACAGAAGTGCTGGCTGCTTTTACCTGGTGTGACACTTGTAAATATTTGTCGCTGGCCCAGAGTCCTTCGTAGCATGCTCATTTTGCAAATGAGGCCATCAGTAGTCAGAGAGATGAGCTAGTCCCATGATGATGTATGGCTAACGAGTTGTAGCACCCAAGTTCTCTAAGTCTCTTTTGCCCCCTATAACTTTGCCAGTCTGTTCTACAAGTTCTTTTTCCAGATTCCCCAGGGAGCCAGAGGATATTGGAAAGTGGCTCACTATTCTTTATAAGTTGGATTTTAACATCTTGACATTAATTTCTTTTTTTGGCCTGGCTATATTGCACTTGGTAAAGGCCTCCAGGACATCTTTCTTCAGGTTGTGGGTTCATGGTGGACTCAAAGCTCATATGATAGAAGTCCTCTGAGGCTGGTTATCTATTAGGAAGTCTATAGGAATGGAGGGATGTTTTGAACTCCCTGTTGGATGACATTTTCTAGAGATTCGTGTAGCCTGGAAGATATGAGGATGAGATTCATTTTTCCAGAAAAAAAAATATTAAAGAAGCCAAAAAATGGTTTCTTGTATGAATCCATTATTTGGTGATAAACCCAACTGGTGCTCTTGTTTTCTGAGCTTGGCTAGCTATAAAACCTAGAGGAAAGCATCTGGTCCCCTGGGGTTAGTGTTACAGTGGCTATGTGCTGTCTGGAGCTTCCTTAACTCTGAATAATTGTACATTATGGAATTCAAAGATATGTCCCTGCTCTAAGCTTGCTAGTCCATTCCTCTCTTACCTTGTTGATCACTCAACAAACACTATGTTATTTATTTATTAATATATTATTTTGCCAAAACGACTGTATTCTTTTTTTGATTATTATTTTTAGAGGGGGGGTGTTCGGGAGAACATTGGACCCTTTGGAGATGGAATTAAGGAAGGTTGTGAGTTATGTGGTGTAAGTTCTGGGAACTGGACTCAGGTCCCCTACAAGAGCAGTATGCTCTTAATCACTCCAGACTGCTCAGATGCTTGTCACCCCTGACTTCAGTATCACAGTAGGGTGCTTTATATATCAGCTCAGTCATAGAAAATCCATCTCATGTTTTTCATTTTACAACCACCTTTCAAAACACTTATTTTAAACAAATGAGGGGCCTGCAGATGATACAACTAGGATCTCTTTCTATTTCAAGGATGGATATGCTTGTGTTCAGATTTTATATACATTGTGGCTTCTCAAAAAACAAACAAACAAAAAACTATATATATTCTGTAGCACACCTCCCTTAATAGTGGAATTATTAATTCTATCACTTCCATTATTGGTCTGAAACACTGGAGACTCGGTGTTTAAATTCCCAGGCCCAATGCTTAGGACATAAAAACAGTATGAAAGGGCTGTCATTGCTGTTGTGTATTGAGGTATAATTTTTGTCCTTGCATAAAGAAAAATCCTCTCTTTCCTAGCAGATCACAGTAGTCACAGGCTGGATAAAATCATTATTTCTGTGTATTTGGAAATCATCCTCATGGATGTGTAGTTCAGATTTTTTTAATGGCATGCATGTGGGAATAGAATCTTGATTTATCATCATATACTATTGTGGGCCAATAATATAATAGATGCATACATGTACTGAATATGAAGGGTACATAGAAGTTTATCATCTAGTGGAATTCTCTGGATATTCACTCAGGCTCTTCCCATATGTCATTCTGAGAGTCATGATGTTTTTCCTGGTGACAGACATCCAGTTGAGTATATGTATACTAGGACACATATAACACTGGGTGGGTGCCATTCCTTAGCAGCAAAATAAGTTGGGACCATGATAATTATGCACCGGGGAAATCCTATAATGATCTTCATCCAGTTGATATTTAATATCTGGAGATAGCCGACAGGTTGCACCTCTCGTTCTGCTGTTTGAGCACATGGATGAGTTTGGCATTTATTTAAAATCAAAATCAAACCCTTTCAAATGATGAACCTGCTGGAAAAAGCTTTTGGAGAAATCACTGAAGTACCAACCAGTGTTGCCTGCAGAGAACGATGTGTTAACTAGTGTTTCTGGTTATGGGCAGGAAAATGAATGAATAACAACCAAGAAATCAGCACCAGCCACCCTCCTTATTCATCTGGGTTCTGAGCTGTGGCTTCTACCACAGGAAAGATATACCACATGGCATAAAGGCTGCAGATCTGCTTTTGTTTCTCATTTGACATTGGTGATTAAAATTCATTGTGAGCAATGGAAATAAAAACAAAAATCTATTACGAAATACAAATGCCCATATATCCATCCCTGAATTCATGAGTGTCCACATACATCAAACAATTTTATTCACCCCATTTCTCCACAGCAGGAAAATGCATGGTTCTGTGAGTCTTCACATTGTTTGGATTAAATCCTCACATTGTGATTTGGCTTTTCTCTCTCTCTCTCTCTCTCTCTCTCTCTCTCTCTCTCTCTCTCTCTCTCTCTCTCTGTCTTTTCTATTGAAAACATGTTTGATTATTAAATAAACACAGAGTTCTTGTTCTGTGCCAAGCATAGGGTTAAATTCTGTGGGGACTTCAGAGAACACAATAGACACATGCCTCTCCTTTCATGAAGACAGGCTTCAGTAACAAAGGAAAAACAAACAATAAAATACATAAAATGGATGTTAAAAATAAAATAAAATACTAGTATTAGGTAAAGACAGAAACTTCTGGAATGCTGAGGTGGGCTTGGCCAGCACTGCTTACAGAATTAAATAGTGTTAGCAGAGAATTTTTATTTGAACATGGCCTATTTGGGTTGGGCATTGTATTTAAAGAACGTGAATAGTTAACTACTTGGGAAACTAGGGGACAAACACTCCAAAAGAAACATGCAATGGAGAAGAAATTTACCTGCAAACAGGTATTTTCCCGCATGGTGGTGCTAAGGAGGCCGCACCAGCTGGGTTCTCCTGACTCACTGCAGCTGTAACTGCAGACTTACACCAGTGTGTGTAAGAAGTGTAAATGACGGGCCGGTTTTAAGGCCCTCCCGAGGATGAGGACATGTTGGAAATTGCACGTCTTAATCTGAAAGGAGATAAGGTATAAGGACTTTTGAGAACGGAGTAAGAGCGTTTCACACGCTTCAGCTCATCTCAGGGGTGTGAGTTTGACATAGACTCAAAATCAGCCCAAGAAACTCCCTTCTCCGACTTCACACAGCCTCTAAGTGTGGGCTCTTCTCCCCAGCTCAAGCGTCACGATCAGTGTAGGAGAGAAATGGGTCTCCTTTTCACCGGTGGCCTTGAGTTCTTTGGGATGTTCTTCTGTCATTGGATATCAGTTTCTGTTCTCAGACACTAAAAGATATACGATACAGAGAAAACATCTAGGACTGTGGCAGGTGTTAGCAATGGACCACTGGAACCGTGATGCGCTGAGCCAGCCCAGCCCCTCACTGGCCCTGGGATGCCTGGTTCTGCCCCTAGCTGAATATTGATTGCAGCAGGAGATCTTGGTTTACCCCTTAGGTGAGGGCTCACCCCCACCACCATCACTAGGGAAAGGTGGTTCCATCCCTCACTGTAGGCATGCACACTAGAACTGACCTTGTATAGGTTCCGGGCACCTCACCTAGGAAGCACGCTAGAACTGACCTTGTGGTTACGGACATGGGTGAGCCAATCCTGAAGGCATGAAAGCAGGAGAGCTGACCCTGCTTCTCCTCATCTGCCGTGTGGTGCTATGGGTGAGGGGGAAATGACCCCCCCACAAACACAGACACATACCTGTCACCACCTGCAGCAGGTGACAGAGCTGGCTCTGCCATCATAAGAGTGAGGGAAACAGCCCTGCCCTGCATCAGCCACGGCACACAGGATGCAGGTCCTGCACCTTGCCGTGGCAGCATGCTAAAGCTGACCCTGTTGTTGGGGTCACAGGGAAGCCAGCCCTGTGAGTGTCAGGACAGGAGAGGTGACCCCACTGCCTCTAGTATGCCCCCTACAGCAGTTGGGAGAGAGGGATCTGCACCTTGCAAAACAGTAGAGCTGGCCTTGGCAATATGAGTGAGGGGGATCTGGATCTGAGGGCCTGAAAACAGAAGAACTAGCTCAGCCCCTAGCTGTAGGCTGCACTGGGGGAGCTGGCCCAGGCAATGCTGGAGAGCTCATCTGGCTAGTGGCGGTGAGGGAAAGCTAGCAAGCTGACCAATCCAGCTACCACTCAAGGCCTAGAACCAGGACTATGAGTTGGCCCACTCCAACATCCACAGAATCTATGAACTGTTGGAGCATGGGAACGGAACGAACCTACAGATCCCAAACAGCAGGATCTCCATGACACAGGCTATCCAACAAGAGCACCAGTAAAGGTCCCATTATTGGTGGCACAGCAGAAGCCGAAGACTCTGAGCCAGAACAGTGACTCATGGTAATGAACACTTGGAAGTAAAGACGAACAGACTAAAGGGCAAACTGTGTGTTAATTTTTGTTTTGGGTTGGGGGACAGTGACAAGGACAGGGGGGAGATTGCAGGGGAGAGGGAGATATGTGGGATTGGAATGCATCCCGTGAAAATCCACAAAGAATAAAAGTGAAACAAACAAAATTGCCTAGGATCTTGGCTGCTTCCCGTGTTCCAGTTAATATCCCAAGTGTTAGACTCACACGCTCAAGCTTCCAAGGACTGTGTGAGATGAGGCAGCCTTATTCATTTCAGTCTCCATAAAGCAGAGGACAGGAACCCGTCCTACGCTAAGCTCTTCAGGTCAAAGAGCTACAACGCAACACACCCATATTGTGAAAC